TTATAATTCTATTCAAAAATTATTCAATGATTATTCCTGTAATTTTAGTATTCCAATACTAAAATTACAGGAATCATCACACGTGTATNTAATATAATTTAAGTAACTTATAAACAATTTTTTTAATATAAATTTCGCGAAGAAAAAAAGCCATTTAACGCTTGTTTTAATACTACTCGCAGTAACAAGAAAAATGTCAACATTGAAAGTGTTAAACAAACTACATCTCATAAAAGGTACTTTAAGTCGGAACTCAGTCAATCACATAATAAACAGTAAATGATGTACTGTAATTGTGTACAATACAAACACGGCCGAAGTTTCTCTACTTCCTCCCTCCATTGAGAATTTCTATTGGTTTCGGATGTTCTCTTGTGAAGACGTCTATTCGAGTTACAGTAATTCTAATTTAAAATTAAATACTTTTTGACTGTAAAAAATTAATAGCTGTGTTATATATTTTCGTACATTCCTACTTCAAATAGTTAATGTTTTAAAATATATTTTGTAGAACATTTTAAAATTATCTATCGAAGAAAATTAGGGAAAATTGAAATCTAGAACGTGTTATAAACAATATAAAGATTATATACAGTAAAACCTGTGTAAAACGGACTCACATGCTAGCAATATTTGTCAGGTTTCCTGGTATTTTTCTGATACCTGCGCTTATCTTCAGCATTCATTCATTAGCAACATATATGACTCCATATCTGACATATGTCTTCATTAAAGATTCGTACCAGAATTGTCTTGTCCTAAATGTGTGTTGATACATATAAATAGACTCCTATTCATACGTATCAACGCATATTTACAAACTTCTCTTTTGTAGGAGTCTTTGAATAATAATACATACCGAAGGAAGCTGATTCTATACAAGAAAAACTCTCCCTCCAGCAAAGAGTTACATGACTTTCCCGGCAAAATCTTTTAAAATTGCGTGTGGTGACATTTGTTATGATATTTTTTACTAATAAAATTAAATATTATTAATTATTATAAAATAGAAAAAAGCTTAATTTTAAGGGTAGGGGTGAGTTTTATAAAAATTGTAAATGCTAATAACGAGTAAAATTGTCATTAAGTCAGACTCTACTCGAGATATGACACACGACACCCTTTATCTCCCCGCCCCGTCGACCTTTAACCACGAAAATTTAATAGCATTAATCTCCCTACTAATATACAAACAAACCTCCCTGTAAAATTTCAGAAAATTTCGACAAAATGTACAGAAATTTTAAAGTGGATGAACAAAAATCGTGCCCTTCATGCACACAATAACATCCTTATATACAGAAAAATCTTCCAATTTTTTTTCTTTTATTTCTCGAATTATTATTTTATTTTATTTTTTCTGTATATTCTGCGCTTAATATAGTATCGATGGCCATATATAGTAATACTCGTCATTTTCAAGTTCATAAGGAGAGGAAGAACAGGTAAATTATAAAAGAAACATCTTCATCTGATTGTCACGTGGTGCGCGTAGACGGACTGCCATTGGTGGAACGTCTTGCATACCGGAGTGTTCCCAACATCGCCCTTCGGCAAGGACGGACCGTACGGACATTTACCCCGGACAAGCGATGATGATGGTCGTCCTTGCTCCGGATACATTTAAGGCTATGGTCAGTGTATACGTCATATCCGTCGAAATTGCCACAATATCAGCCATAAAAATTCGTACCGAGTACGTGCCGTTCGCCTTCTCTTACTAAACCACAAGGGCGATGAATGGTAGGAAGTTTGAGATATTTTTCTCTATCCGCTCCTCTATCTTGTTTATCTTTTACTTATTTTCGCTTTATAATGTTACTAATTTCGTTCTGAATTATATTTTCGTAATGACGAATCGTTTCTTTCGCTTTCGTTCGATTGTTGTGCTCCTTACGACGTTACGTCACTCGTCACGTGGCCGGCGAAGCAGACGACCTTTCGTAGGTGAAAAAAATCGATGGTGTTACTAAATCGAAATATTATTATTATTATTATATTTTTTTACTTAATTACTCCTTCCTTTCGTAATAGGAGTAATAATATGTAATATTTAACGAAAATGGAGTCGCATTTGAGTGATTTTTTCCAGGCGTGGGATTAGTTTTATTGGTCGACGTGGTCACGTGGTATACGAAGCAGACGACCTCTCGTAGGTGAATCAGGTTTTTCGTGATTATGAAAAATCTTAATTAATGAAATAAACGAAAAATTGTATTCGGTTATTTACATCGAGGGACTTTACGTTATTAAAAAATATCTTACATTGAATATTCTTTAATGGCGCGGTAAGGTGTTGTCTGAATGCCATTCCGTCACGCAGTTTTTCCGTCACGCTCAAATGCTGTTTGGGGTGGGCGTTAGAGGCGCATTTTTTTCTAAAAAGAAAACATTTCATAAAAGACAAGTTTAGCGTGTTGTTTTGCATTTGATAACATTCAGATGAAGCATAAAAATTTGCGTAATAGATAATTTGCTGTAAATGACCTTTTAAGTGCACATGGGAATACCACGTAGATTACGTCACACAGTAGACGACGTTGTTCGATCACGTAATCGTCATCCACGTTCAACACGTTCCTTTAAAGATTAGTTACGTTTTTTTTACAAAAAAATATATATTTTTTTATATTATCTGCTTAAAAAACAATCGCCGTGACAACAAATTAAGCGTAAATTTCGTTTCCCAACGTTAAAACTTCCGCAATGTTACAAAATATGGTAAAGTAAGTTTTACATTTAAACAATAATAACAATTACGTTTTAAAAAAAAACACTGTTGATAAATGAGCCTATCAGAATTTTTCCCTTCAACTACGTAATAAGATTAGTGAATGTTTGTAGATTAAAACAAGGACATGAGAAAATATTGTATATCTACTAGTTGTGTATCTATAAAAAGACTGATGTTGTTTCTATTAATAGAAGAACACTTCTCAACAAACAGGTAGCTGACCCTGGTTATTTGTACAAGCTATACAGTACCTATACAAGAATATTGTTAGGAGTAATATATCTTCCCACTAGGTGGCTTTAACTGGTGGTGATTGTGTGTGTTTGCGCGTGTTTTTTTTTTCTTTTCTGTTTTCGACCAATCATAATACACTGATAAAAACAGTTCCCTTTTACTAGATTATTCATACGATTTTTATACATTTTTTCAGGATAATTTAGCGGAAATTTCCACGATCATCTGAGAATTTAAAAATGGAAAAATCATCCCCCTGTTACAGGTAATGTATACAATACTTAATTATAAACTTTAAAAATTATTGACTTTTAATAATAAATACACGTGGTATGTGTGTGTAATGTCACGTCTCAAAGGTGTCGCCGATAAGTCTAAAATGTGTTTCTTTCATAACCATGTTAGACATTGAAATCGCGCAAACTTATCGGAAAGGTATCGATCAGAGTCCAAATTCGCTAATCAACTGATACGGTACCAAAGGTTTAAAAGTACTGTCAACACAGAGAGATTTGCTTACTATATATGTAACAAATATCACCTGATAATTTGTTTGTACACTACCCAAGCGTGCATCAGTCTACGATAACAGTATACTAACCTTATCCGTATTTTTAATAGTACATAAATACACAACGCAAAACGAGCTTCATTTTTTGACTAAAAAGCTGTCAAAGTTTGGTTTATTTTACTTCATAAAATTGATATTGATTTTGATAATCTGTTAGATAATTGATGATAATATTTATGCATCTATATAAATAAATTTAGCTTTTTTTATGTTTTTTTTTTGTATTTATGATAATTGTAGTTTGGCGAAGAAGAAAAACTGACGGGTTAATTTTTAACCATTGAGTTTTTCCACTTATTGGCTACGAATTCCCCAGATTAAAATAAACAACGATTCTGTAATCGACTCGGAAGTTATGCTTAAACTCCAGACGGATTATTAGACTGGAGCGACTGCCTTATCTGTTTCCCCTTTTGTTTTTACTGTTATGTAGCCAATCTCAAGGCCAGGGGTGGGATAGCGTAACTACAACAGTGAAAGGAACCATTTTATCTGTAGACAAGTGCCAGAGATGGATGTACGACTCTGATTATGTTGCGTACGTGCGTGACTCGTTAACGTGACGATTTTTTAACTAGAAAATTACTGGTATATAGATGCAGCCGTACCATGCAAACGTATAGTTGCGCCATTACCGCATTGTAGGTAAGTTTCCCGTTCTTTTTCTTAAAGAATATCGGTTAATGGAATTCTTAAAGTTGGATTTTTTTTTGCAAATCATCGTTGCTACAATTCGCTTATTGACGCTCCATCTGTTTAGACTAAAACTAATGAATAATTACTTCTAAGAATTCTATTCTGATGTGGTGCAACCTGATTATTTTTTAAAATACGAAACGAATTCAACATATTACATTTAATAATTCAGCAGATTAGACAACTTAACGCCGAAATAATTTCTATATGGACGATAATAATTCTAACTGTGCCGTTCATTCTTTTAACGTGTCTTTAACATTAGAATGGTATAAATGATGTTCCTATTCTAAGTTCATCCACGTGATTGTGGCATGTGCAAGCCATGACGTCATTCTCCGTATATAGTAAATTATAAGCTCAATTTTTATTTTATTTATTTTTTTGTTGTAACTTCGGATTTGGAAAACTTGTTCGGCACAGAACAGGAAACTGGGATGATTGCATCAAAACGTTCGATCGAATTGTCTTGCGTTCCTGGAAAAGAATGCAGTACTTCGATGATAACGCGCATGTCCTCGGGAAAAGAATTTTTAACTTCAAAACAACCGTGGGAATTTGTACTAGTTAGATAAAAGAATTCTTTCATTTTCTAAAAGTTCCTTATTTCAAAACAAGTAATCCATTGACGTTTGAAAGGATGAATCATCTGTAGGCGTTTGACTCAACTGACTTTTATTACGTTCACTGTAGTTACGATGAAAAGTAATCAGGTAATTTTTTTCTCTTCTACGATTTTTAAGTGTTTTTATCATTTCCCGTATTCGTTAATTTATAAAAAAGGTAGATTATAGTAGTGTTTTGATCTATCGAAAGGCTAGAGGAGTAAGTCTTTAACATCCAACTGGGACATTGTACTAGAAGATGACCTTCAAGGTTGGAGTGGGTGGATGCCTCCTCTCTCTCTTACTATCCGAATTTACAGTACTATTCGTATCTAGGAACACTCATTTATATTTTGGGAAATTTATATTTTAAATAAGATACTAGAATTTTCGTTAGATTGGATTTTATCTACCGGATGTTAACTCTTTGAGGTAGGTGACGGGAAATGATGTCATCGAGTGACCGTTTGAGGGGGAGTAGCAGAGGCGGATAGACGAACGTACAAACTAGTCTTGAGGTTAAACGTGGGTGATGTTTGTTCGAATTTTATCAGTTATACTTTTACCGTTTTTTTTTCTTACTCTAAATATTCAGAATAGGATGACATATGGTTTTATTTTATGCTTTATAAGAGGATCTTATTCAAGCATTAATGTAAATGTGGTAACGGGATATAGAACAGAATTTTAGATTAAATTTTCCGGATCTTATGTATTATTATAATTAAAAATATAACGACTTAACTAATTATTCTACAGATAATTAATAATAATGAAAATGTGAGAAAATATCCCCAGACATCTCGATGCTTAGAAATCAGTTTACAATGAAAAATTTTCCCCAAGTTCCGCTGAAGTGGCATTAAAGATTATTAGTTTTATCTAATTAACGTTTATTTTTGTCAGTACACAAAAGATATTTTAATCAATATTATTAATCGATAACACTGCGATTTTTCGAACCTTTGAGGTATAACAGCTCTGTATTTCGGATTTGAAGCAAAGTTTTCTAATCCGCTGCGTGTCATATTTCCGCACCATAAACGTATAATTACAAGAAAAAAGTTGCAAAAAAAATTTTGTACGGAACTTTTAACTTTTCTAAGTAATTTCGATATCAAATCTTGTTTATTTGATTGCATTAAATTGACTTTTTTCGAAAGATAGTTAAGAGGAAACAATAAAATTTGAAAAATTGGGACTACGAACATTAGGATGATTGGGATTTTAGAGCAGCTAAAACAATAAGGATTAATTGAGAAAGTATTTCTTTTAAAATTATATAAATCTATAATATTTTATTATATAATAGAAGCCAATATAAAAAGTTTTTGGTAATCTTAATGTAACTTTTACATCATTACAAAAAGCGTTGCTTTAAACCAGTTTCTAGAATAGTTTTATTTAATTATGAATCAACAATAAGACTTAATCAAAAATGCTCTTTCAAAAACTGTAGCATTCAGAGCATGAAAACAGCATTAATAATTTTTTAAGCCCGATAAAAATAATATATCATTGTCAATTTTGCATTTATCGAAGTGAAGAAAATTGCTTATTTCGAACAGCATAACAACAGTATTGTGACATGGAAAAACACGAAGAGAATAAATAATAGTGACATTTGTATATGGACTATTATTTATATTTGTCTAACTTGTAAATGTCAAGGTTCGTAATCAAACAGATCATATATCGCTAATTCGTCATTTTCAATAAAAGTGTTTATTCATCCCAGTTATATTGACCTGAATGAACGTTAACCCATTTAAGTTGCTAACTCTTGAATTTATTGTGGATATGCCTAGAATATATCGCTTAGTCAGGTGGATTCAAAACCCATATGTAGGAGTGCATGCTGACAAAACTTGTTATTAATCTTTTTCAATACGTCATAAATTTCCTGCCTAGCATATTTCCTTCTACGTCGTTTGGTAAGTAGAGACCATTTTGCAATGCATTAAAAATCCTACTTCTGTGTGTTCTTTAATAAGTGGAATGTCACGCGATTGGCACGTGCTGCGACGAGTGTAAAGTTTGAAAGTTATTTATTTGGTATAAGCAATTTTTAACATTTCGCTAAGGGCAATGTTTCTAATTCTTGGAAACTTAAGTGTTACAAATGCGAAATAAATTTTGTATATTTATTTTACAAATTTATAAATTGTATTTTAAATATTTATTTTTACTTTTTTTTTCGTAGGATTATTCAGTACCAGCTCTATGTTGTCTCTGGCATTTTCTCCCTTAGTCATCTCTTCTAATATTGATCTATTTAAGATAAATGTGAGCGATATTTTCGAAATTATTCGTACGAAAAGAAATTGTGATTGCCATGAATCTATAAAACAACAGATTTTAATAGACGATTTATCCAATAATTTGTACACAGTGTTTCTTCGAAAGTTACTCGAATCTAAACAGTGCGGTTTGGGTGCCACGAGGACCACAGATCCGCAAAGTGTTCTGTCTAATGAATCCCTTAACGATAGTCCCTCATGTGGACTGCTATCAGGACAGATGATTGGTTCAGATAGGTCAACAATGACTGGAAGCAACAATGAAACTTCAGAAAGCCAACCTTGGCTAACAGATGTTACAACTGGAAATATAAGAAATATTCCACATGGAGGAGGAATGTTACAATTACCATCGTCTAGTGTTTGTGGGGCAGAGTCTGGTCCTTTGTTTCCAAATCAGTCAGGTACTTTTCGTCCTACTATGCCTATGTTAACCCCTCCAAATCTTGCTAGTCAGCAACAACGCTATGCTCCGCAATTTCAGAGTCACTTTCCATCTATTGGTGGGTCCAATTTATCTTTATATTATCGACAGTCACATATGACTTATCCTCCAGTCTATACTCATTATAGACCACAGATGTCTGGGACCACTCCTACCATTGTGCCTGGAAATCAATATATTCAAGTAGAACCTTTTCCTCTTTTAAGTAGTATGCAAAATGTAGTTTCTTACACTCAACCTCATCTACCTCATTCTTCAGCAATCCGAGCTAATCCTTTGGGGTCAAGAGATACTTCGTCTTATTCGCAGTTTCAGATGCCTGATAAAAACAGAGAAGAAACCAATTCAATATTGCCATATTCTTCATTGATCTCTAAACAAGAAAAACAGTTATCTAAGTCACCATCACTAGCAGATAAAGATGCCAAATCAACTCAGGTAAACAGAACTTTGAGAAATGAACAAACAAGTTTTATAGATCCCAATGTATGTAGAGAAAAAGGACTAATCACAATGAAGACACAATCTTTATCATCATCTACATATCAGATTCCATCTGGAAAAGAAGGAAGTCTGAAACATAGAATTTTACGACCTCCCCAAAACATTGATATTATACCATCGTCAATTTCTGTTATTAATGAAGCACCTCATTCAGCTCCACCAATTGCACGAGATAGAAGTAAGGAAGTTACTTCTCCAAAACAGGCTAGATATAGCACTTCAGTAGTTTCAAAGCATGAACCAACATATTCTTTATCTCATCAGAGTTCTTTGAATCAAAGTGCAGTAATTTCTACAAGATCCCACCTTCATCATCCAACATATTTTACTAAAGGCTCAATTATCCAATTAGCAAATGGTCATTTGAAACAAGTAGAAGAATTAACAACAAATGATTTTGTTGAAAGTGCAGCCCTTAGCACTAATTTATCCATGGACCAGAGTACAGTTGTAAAAATTAAAGAAATACCAGAATCTGGCTTGGCAGTACTTGGCTTTAGTGTTGGATTGAAACAAGTACAGGTAAGATTAATTTTCTTAAAAATTTAATCTTTAATGTAACTAATAAATCTTTCTTAATATGGACAAATATCAGTTAATTTTAGAAATATTTAGCATCTGCTTTTAAAAAGAATCTATGGACTTAAAAATTCAATTATTAAAAACACAAATATAAGTATTTTTAAGAAACAAGGCAATTTTCACTGTTTAAATATTCTTTGAAACAATATTGTGCAAGGTCCAAATTTTTAGAGAAACAAACCTTTTACCAGAGTTTGTAAAAAGAAAATTGAAAAGCATTAAACTAGAAATTCCAGTGCTGGACTTTCTGCCTACAAACAAAAAATATATATTACAACAACTACAATAAATAACTTCTTACATAAATACTGGAATGCAAACAATTAACTCTCGTAAACCTTAAAAGTCCAGTGTTGACACCTTTAATAGAAAACAAATGTTTTCGACCATACTCCGGTCTTCTTCAGGTTTGTAAAACCAGAAGACTGTACTCCGGTTTTCTGGTTTACAAACCTGAAGAAGACTGGAGTATGGTCAAAATGTTTGTTTTCTATTAAAGATGTCAACAGTGCCGTAACTAGGCAGGTAAAACAGGTGCACCCGCATAGGGCCCACTTGGAAGGGGAGCCCGAAATGAACGTATTTGTTTTATTATTTTCCCAAACCTAATTAATTAAGGGGCCTAATTGCAAATTCTTGCACACGGCACAAGAACAGCTAGTTATGGCAGTGGGTGTCAATACTGGACTTTTAAGGTTTATGAGAGTTAATTGTTTACAACAACAAGTATAAAACTCAAATGTTACAAATCCAATTCAGTAATTACACAATGAAAGTAATTATTAATAAAAACTACAATTATTCAACATTAAACAATTAATCTGATTGGGAAAAGAACTTAGAAGAGGAAAAACCCTTTATTTGGCACCAAAAACTTACAAATTGGCAATTACACACTGACCAGCAGAAGTGAAGGATAGGTTCCATGTCTCTTTACTTTCACATGTAGGATAAATAGTTGGTTGATAAGGCAATGTGTCACTTGGATAATCTGCCAAGGAGTGATTCCTGGGAGGGCCTACAGGAAACTGACCTCTATTTAGGTTTAGATACACAAATAAAACCTAGAAAACTCCACATAGATAGCCTGTTGGTGAGGTACAAAACTGAACCAACTACCAGTGTTTATCCATTTGGCCACTGGTAGAAGACAACAATGACCACAGCTTGCTATGTAGTCATTGTTGTCTTCTTCCTCTCTAGAGGTTATGGTCCATGCCTTGTCCTCTGATTTGCTTGTTAGAAGTTGGTTTTAATAGAAGCAATTGGTGGTTTGGATGAAGACTTCCAGTGCTGAAATGTGCTCTCTAGAGTTTTGACTGTCACTAGAATTGATGGATTGAGGTCTGTTCTGAAACAATTATTTTCTTAGATATTTTTTAAAGTATTCATGACTTAATAATTATATACATTTTATTTGAAATTCATATTCATTCATAATCTCACTCATTGTAATTTGCATATTTAACTTTAAAGAAAAAACTACATCCAATTTATTCATAACATGTATTATTTCTGATTTATGATAACTTTTGGAGGATCAATTAATTAAAGCATTATTATTATTGAGGTGGTAACTTTTCCTGGAAACACTATGTAGAACTTTCATGTTTCTCTAATTCTCAAAGTTCTAATTTAATTTCCAGTTTTCTATTATAGAACATAACATCAGTGTGTTAATTACTTGATTATTTTTATGCTTTAGAAGTTTTAGATGATAATTTACTTAAGAGTTTACAACAGCAATCTTGTTGCTGAACGAAATTAGATATAATAGGCCAAAATAAAGTTAAAACCAGAGTTACCGCATTTGTTTTTCCTTCATTCTATGATTTTTTAAAAGAACAAACAGCTTTGTATTATTTATATTAATATCATACATTCATCAGTATTTCTTTCAAACCTTTTACCATACAGATGTAAACATATCAATAAAAAATGAACATATACAACAAAATTTTTTATTTTTCATTAGAATCCAAATGAAAACAGATTTCAAATAAATATGTTTGTATAGTAAAAAAAAAAACCTATGCTGCAATGTTTGAGACTGATGGTAGTTCAAGAACCAGTGGCAAATGATACACAAATTAACTGATGATGAATTCAAAATACTAATTCTACTATAAGGTCGGTTAACAAGTAACAAACCAAACACATTTACCCCACATTACATAATATGATCTCAAGTCAGAGAAAGCAGGCATGTATATATATTTACATAACTGATAAACAAGAGCCATATGGCATATTAGATAGCTGTAGAACTAATAAAAAATATGTTCACACATTTAGATATTGTGGCAAGTGACAAAACATGATGTCATCACTTCCAGCAGAAAGCAAACAACAGAGTAATTTGTGCAATTACACAATGGAAGCATTGCATGTATGCCATTGTTGCTTTCTGCAGGATCATTATCACAAAGGAAGTTCAAGGCAGTTCAGAATGATGCAGGAATGATTCTTTGATTATTGTGGCCCCTTGTTTTTTTTATTTGTTGCAACACATTTTTGGGTATTAATGGTTATACTATCATGCAACACTATAAAATTCATGGTTGACAATAAAATTATAACATCTAGCCATACACCAACTGTGATATAAAGTATGCTGTGCCAAACTAATAGGGGTTTTCCATTGGTATCATAATTGGTGTATAGCTAGATGTCATTGGGCTGCAATTTAAAAAAATTGTATACCTATAAATTCCCACTGTCATCCAACCATCCGTCTTTCCTTAATCTTGAGAACGGCATTAGATAGACAAAAGACAAGACCAAATATGGAAACCTTAGGGGCAGGGGGTCCCGATTAACTACATACAAACTTTCGATGCAAACTGGAAGTCATGTTATTTCAATTCAAAATTTTCCCCTGAAGAAGTTAGATGACCAGCATGACTCTACTATTAGTGGTATGCTGCCCATGGAAGCTGTGGAAGCACCACTTCCCTTGTATTTTCTAAAATATAAATACATATTGTGCGATTATTTTCATATTTGAATGTACTTTGAATTAATTAAAATTAATATTTTATTATAATCGCATTATGTATCTTATTACAAATTTCTATACTACATGTGAAAAAAAAATGATAAGATTGCTATTGTATATTCGAATATAAATTCATATATGAATGTTCCCAATGGAAGTGCTGTATTGTAATATGGGATAGCTTCAATGGCATCTCTATTGTATTAGTAGTATGGTATTAGTTGTCACTGCATGCTGTGTCATTGTTAACTCGTACTGTTGTCATCACATGCTATCGTTATGTTATGTTTTTTCGTATATAAACATTTTACTACAAAATGAGTAATCCAATGAAAAACACAATGAACCTAACATTTTAACAAAGATTGGAAAGAAGACTACTATGTTAATGCTTTATCACACAGATTGTTTAAAGCCCTTGTAGAAAAGGACAAATCTTCCCAAGCTGACTTTATCTTACATGCAGTTATAAGATGGTTAAGTAAAGGCAACGCACTTGGTCGATTTTTTGATCTTTTGTAAGAGAGAAAAAAATTCCTTATTTCAAAAGATCAATTAGATAACCTACAATGGTTGATGGACTTGGATTTTTAACTGACATTTTGAAAAATTGAACAGTTTAAACCTGGGTCTACAGAGAAACAATAAACAATTAGCTGAAATGGTTAGCTCTAGAAAAGCATTCAAAGCCAAAATACAGTTTTGGATAAATAATTTAATAAAATTCTCTTGTACACTTTTCAAGGATGAAAAAAGTGACTGGTGAAAATAAGTTTGATTTAACATTATTTATTACTTATTTTAAAAAACTTTTGAGACAGTTTGAAAGTAGATTCCAGTAATTTAACATTATCGAACCCGTGGCTACATTTTTTGTAAATCCTTTTACTACACAAGTAGACATTACTGAAACTGCTAAATCTATAACAGAATTTCTTCAGGAAGAAACATCAAAAATTGAAGAAGAGATTTTACATTTTCAAAATGACATCATATTAAAATCTTGTGACACATATAAAAACTTTTGAAATTTACACTTCTATGCATTTGTAGCTAGAACTATTTTAAGATGACCAAGACAAAACCTTTCTCACTTGTTTCATACACGAGTACGAATGTTTTTGGCCTTCTTCAGGTACACTGAAGAAGGCCAAAAACTGTCCTGAAGAAGGCCGAAAACGTTCGTACTCGTGTATAAATGGCTAGAAACAAGTGAGAAAGGTTTTGTCTTGGTCATTTTGAAATTTAGTTGATCATAAAAAGTAATAATCTTCTGAAAAAAGGAGCCTTTAAAATCAAATTCTGTTTTGGTTCCACGTATTTGTGCAAATATAATATTTATGGTGGAAAATAAATAAGATCAAAAGTCAGATCTCAACTTACTAATGCCAATCTTGAAGATTGTTTACGATTGGGATTATCATCTTACACTACCAACTGTGAGAAATTAGCAAATGTAGGGCAGTGTCAAAGATCACACTAATTTGGCTTTTATAATAAATATATGTTACAAAATGCATGTTATAATAAAGGACATATAATATTTAATTATTTATTTTTTTAAATATGATTTGTGCCCGTCACTATTTTTTACAATCTTGAATGCGCCCGCGCCACAAAAAGGTTGAGAACCCGACCTAGATCACCCATGTAGCCCTGATGTGACAAACAATTTTCATATCTTTAGAAAAACATGTCTGCTGTGTGCCCAACATTTCAGATTGGATGTTATGAAAAGTTGTGGTTTCACAAGTTTTCATATCAACAGTGGTTATAACAGCCAAAGGAGGAGAGGATGTTGTTGACCATCTTATTTCACAATGGAATGTTTCCTGTAATATACACATGTTAAGGTCTCAAATACATAACACTTCTGGCATTTTGCTTATTACTTTTTTGACTGATGCTTAGAATTCTAAATCTCTATACTGAAAGTAGAGAT